TTTTTTGTGTGTTCATGTATCATGCTTTGCCTCCATCAATTCCATTTTCTCAAAGACAGTTGTGTGGTATTGTCAAGTGATTGAACATCTTAAAAGCCACATTACTACACCAGTAAATGTATTTAGTACTTATACAAAGTGCATTGATTTCCTCTTATGAAATAAGATACCGTAGCAGAGGAATGCATGCTAGGTGAGACACGAGTCTGTGGTTGTAATTGGATTTTTCTCTCTGCAGAAGTCCCAACTTAGTGAAGAACATTCAGACCAGCCTGGGCTACGGTCCCACCCTCTCTGCTGCCTTCCAGGTAAACACAGCACTGACCTCATCCTCAGCTGCTCAGAGAACTCAGATCCTTTACTGTATTTACACTGTACAGAAACTTAAGTAAAAGTGTGTATCAGTTGGAATACATATTTTCTGGTTTTCACTGTTATATATGATGTTTTTGGATTATTATCTATGCTGCATTCATGTAAATATTGCATTTTACGGGTTAACATTTCTGTGATGTTCTTTTTTTAGCTCCTATTTAAAAATTAGGTTCGTTTTTTGTCTACAGCAACCCATTACATACTATGAGATCATCATATATATTATAAATATGAGTTTCTCCCTGATTTAACACAGATTATAGAAAATAACATTTGCTGACAATGAACCTTATGGTCCTGCAATTATAAACTTACTCAAATAAACTTTTGTAAGTAACATCCGCAGATTTCACTTCAGAATATGAAGGTACATGGAATTTGTAAATGAGATACTAACATCAACTTAATTGTCATTAAAAAGAGTCCTGAGACCAAAACATGCAGTTTATCACCTAACCAGAAGTAGAGCTAAAAGCTGTACAGTGCTATTATTACACACGTTTAGGTTAGATAATGAGATATAAACATATGCAGTGAGGTATATAATGTACATACCACCACTGTGCTTCACTCAGAACTCAAAACATTAAGAAGGAGAAAAAAATCTCCTCTGTTTTTGAAGGGGATGTGAAAGGAGTGATGGGCGGCTGAGAAAGTGCTGACAAGCCTCTTCCGCTTCACATTCTAATGCCCCGGGCTTTGCTTTTCAGGCTTCAATGGCAGAAAACAACATACCTCTATACACTACTGCTTCCATTGGGAGTCCCACCCTCCACTCGCTGGCGCACGCCTTCCGCGAGGAGATGAACGGGGCGATGGACCATGGAAACAGCAACGGCAGCGACAGCAGCCCGGGACGCTCGCCCCTGCCAGCTATGTGAGTGGCACCCCCAACCCCCC